TACCATACCTATCTTTCTAATAAAACCACTAGATATCAATTTCAATATATAGTGTGATTCTTTTAACTAATAAAGTTGAATCTAAAACCTCTTTAACAGAACTAATAGATGTCAAACCTCTATAAGTAACCAAAGAGAATAACTCAAGAAATAATCTATATGGGTTTAAATATAGAGGGAAAGTGCCTATGAATAAAAATGCACACTCTTTTCTAATCAATAAATGCTTATTAATGGGTTTGCGTAGTACTGGGTTGGGTGAGTGGTCTCAGAATATATTTTGTATTAGAGTGGTCTCAAGTTCAATTTTGTTAGTTGACTGAGGAATCATGCCATATGTTGACATTGACATATAGCAAATCTAATTTACTCGATTGACTCTTGAGATATTTGGGATTAAGTTGTGAGATACAAATCCCTAAGCCCCAAAGAGCCGAAAGGGTGCCACGTGGTAGTGGCTGAAGCGAAAGCTAAACAAGTGTAACACATTTAGACTAAAAGCTTCAACTTAAAAAGTCGAGAGTGGGAATGGAACTCTTAATGAAGGGCTCAAGGAACAAGTATGAAGCGAGCAATAAATAAGTCTCTAGAAAAGGGACACAATAGGACCAATATATGACATGTGGAAGTGTTGAGATAGAGTCTAAGGAAGAGTTTGAGAAGAAGTTTGAGATGGACCCGAGGTGGAACCAAGCTAAAGTTTGAGATGGAATCCGAGATGGAGTCCAAGATGGACTCGAGACAAAGTCCAAGATGGACCTGAGATGGAGTCCAAGATGGACATGAGATGAAGTCCGAGATGGACCCAAAATGGAGTCCAAGATGGACCCGAGATGAAGTCCGAGATGGACTCGAGATGAAGTCTAAGATGGAGCGGTCCCGGTCTATGTTTTGGTCTTGGTCCCAGTCTAGGTCTTGGTCTTAATTTCTATTTCGGGTCCGTCTCAGAAGACCAAGACTGAGTCCAAGTCTAAGTCCAAGTTTGAGTCCATTTGAATTTGAATCCTTTCGAGTTTGAGTCTGAATACTAATACAGGCTATGGGGTGATGTTGGGGGAAGGAAGGGTGCCTCCCCCAACGCTCGCTCAAACATAAGAAATGCTTCAATGCTCTTCGCAAATGCCCCCCCCCCTTGCCCTTGTGAGGCAAGGGTTTTATACAAGGAAGATGGGGAATATTCTAAGGACCAGAATATCCCCTCTCTCTCTCTCTCACTCTCTTGGTGGCCACGCCCTAACATGTGACCATGGTGGATTGTGTTGGCTCCAGACGTGCAAGAACCCTTCGAAGGGTGTAGAGTGTACCTCTGCTACTGATGCCAAGTGCTAGTAGCTGCATGAAATAGTAAAAACTCTAGAAAACAAAGTGGAAAAGAAAGAAAAGAGGTAGGTATGAAGTTTGGAGATAGGGAGGAAAACCCAATAAGAAACCCTATAGTCAAATTAGACTCTGAAGTTGAAGAAAAGTATAGAAAAAGTGTGAAAAGAGGAAGAAAATAGAGGAAAAAGAGTGTGAGTACCCAAAGAACTTAACCTGTATCTGGATTTCGGCTTAGGAAAGTGTAATATGCAAATGCAGCCTCTTGATAACTTCCAGTATGCTCTAAGGATTGGCTAAAATGGAGAAAGAAAGAGAGGTAGAAGAGGGGATGTGTTGCCCAAGGGTGGTAAATATGGAAATGATGAAAGATGGAGTGATATGGTGGAGCACCGAGATGGTGGTGGCACTCTAAAAAGGTGGCCATTGATAAATATTGGCCCGTAAAGTAAGCGCTAACCTCTCGGAGTAGTTGGTAACTGGTGACCAGGAACTAGTAACCAATAGCCGGGTACCTGTAATCGGTAACCACTTGCTCTCGCTCCTACTCCTGTGCCTGCTCCAGCACTAATATGGTGGAGTGATATGGTGGAGCACCAAGATGGTGGTGGCACTTTGAAAAGGTGGCCATTGATAACTGTTGGCCTGTAGAGTAAGTGCTGACCTCTCGGAGTAGCCGGTAACTAGTAACCAGGAACTAGTAACTAGTAGCCAAGTACCTATAACCAGTAACCGCCTGCTCTCACTCCTACTCCTGCACCTACTCTAGCACCGATATGGTGGAGTAATATGGTGGAGCGCTGAGATGATGGCTAGTCTGACGTGTCGGATTGAAGAAGTTATCAACTGAAAAGGATGGTGAGGTCACTGGGTTGCTAGTAAAAGGAGGTGGCATGTGTCTACTGAGTGCTGGAATAGAAGAAAGTGGTTTTGGCTTCTGTGGCCTTGCCTAAAGATCCACCTAGGTGCCTTGAGTGAACAGATTCACTTGGTTGGAAGAAGGTTCCTCCAAAAAAGCTAATGTGTTGTCGGCAAATGGTCGTAAGGATATCTCGGAAATGGCACATCCAAATGAGGTGGTGTCATTTGCTACTGGTGCACATATGTGTGTCTGTGTTATGGTGTAAATATGACCTCAAACGGAGATGTGAATGATGGTAAAAGAATGAAAGATGCAAGACGGGCATCTAGAGATAAGTGTGGGCAATGCTGCTGGAAGTGAGTGGTGATGGAACTGTGAGTGTAGATGATATGGAATGAGTGAGGGGAATGTGTGGGGTGTAGTAATGGTAAGGGAAGGGCCAAAGAACCTAGAACATAGACCGAGCCAAGTGAGGAACCTCTATACAAACAGCAATGTAGCCTAAGCGTGAAATCCAAGGCATAGGCCACGGTCCAATGGAGAAACACCCTCTGAAAGTAAAAAAAGTAGCCACGAAAGTAAAGTGAAAGAAAGGAAGAAAAAGAAAAAGAAAAAGGAAGAGCTTGCTAAGCTTGCTAAGAAAGAGCTTTACCGTGGTTGTTGAGAAAAGTGGTGCTATAGGTTCCATCACTAATTTCCATCTTGCCTTTTGCGCTGTCAATAGTGCAATGGGCTGTGACTTGCCATAAGTGGCCAAGGATGATAAAGTCCTTCAAAGAGGATGTTCCAAGATGTTGGTAGTCAACCACAAGGAAATCCACCTCAAAAATAACACCTTGTACTGAGACTTTGACACCACAGCAAATGCCTGCTGGAGGAATAGTGTGGTTGGCAAAGGTTTTGAGCACAATGGAGGACCTCTCAATGATCTGTAGCCATGCCAAAAGGGCAGTTTCAAGAGAGATAATGTTGCTTCCAAAACTAGAGTCAACCAAAGCATCCATCTTACAAGAGGAAGTACCAATCTGTACCGGGACGAAGAATGGACCAGGATCTCCACCATATCTTGTCATGTCGACAATGTGCCCCTCTTGAGGAGTCCTCTTGAGAGTGCTCTCTAGTGTTCCTGACTATGCAAACTCCTCTAAACACTAGCCGAATCCTGGGACAAGACACAATATGTCTTGGAGTGAAAAGGTGACGAGAGTGTCAACCAATTGTTGAAGAACCGACTCCAGAACAGGAATAGCTATTGGTGAGATCTCAGAAGGAGAAGAGAGTAGTGACTTGAAGGGGAGCTTACAAGCCACCCTTTGTGTCACTAGGCCTAATGCCAACAGAGATTCGCTCTCAACCGGCACCGGGGGATCTATGGTAGGCTGAGTGGCTACCTTCTTCTTCACTTGGGCTTGAGTGGCTACAGTTTGCTGCTGTTGCCTATAGAGTTCCTGGGCTACCAAAATCATGTTGATTGATGAGGCTGGTGCCTTGCCTTTGCTTGACGAAGGGGCTACCTCAATTGCTTGTCACTCCAACTGCTCTTGATATGTCTCTGGACCCCAAGGCGGTGTGGAGTTATCAGCAAAAGGATGTTGTTGAGCACATTGAGAAGATGGAGGCTGAAGCTCTGGGTGAAGCTTGAATCAGCACTGTATGTTGTGTGTGTTTGTCTCGTAGTGAGTGCACCAATAGGACTTAAATCTATAAGCATTCTACAAATGTTAAAGAGTGGATTTAGGACAATCACTCCCGAATGGATGGCCTAGTCTTTGAAAGACAAGACTATGATGCAAGTGGTGTTAGTGACAAAGGTGAATGGGCATGGCTTTAATGTAACAGGTTGATATGTCGATGGTACCTTTCAGTGTCAGTCAAGGGGTCGGACACATAGAGCATTTGGACCAAATACAAAGGTTGAGTGGAATAGGTGCCATTCTCAAGGCTAGCAAGTCCCCAAATTTAGAATAAAACTTATGAAAGTGGTGAATGAGACTCTTCCAAATGGTCAGAGGTGTGGTTAAGTGATTAAAGTAGAATGGAAAAATTAATCACTTATATAAATATCCTTGAGTTTGAATAGTACTGCGGTCACTATAGTCAATTTGGCAGCTTGGGATTTAGAGTTAAGTGTAATTGGGTACTAGGGTCTTACAACTTCTTTAATATTAAATATAGGTTTTTAAACTTCTTAAAATGTTATATATAATATTATTCAAACCCAAGTATTCTAAGACAAAAAAAATTGTACTTCTGTTAATGAACCCTTCTTTGAAATTATTGTGTCTGATTGCTTATAGATTAAAATGTAATATACTTATTTTGATATGCTTTGAATTGCAAAGATAAACAATTGTATTGATCATCCAAGAATATCCTACAGCAACTTTATATTTTATAACTCATGGTTTCTTCTATCAAAGAGTCATTTATGTATATAAAAAACTCATATATCAAGTAGCTAATTTGCACAATTTACAAATTTAACTTATGGTTTCCTCCATGAACATCCATATATATATATATAAAACTTATATATCAAGCAGCCAATCAGAGTTATGCAATTTACAAATTGCACACCCTAGGTAGAAGGAGCTCCCCAGGGCAAGTGAGAAAGGAGCACAAAGATGGCAAGAAGTGGAACACTGTAAGATAATCCAAATTGCATTCTTGCATCCATCAGACTCACGTTTCAAGATGGGCACCACAAGATTATCAAAACAGCATATAGATAGATAGAGAGAGATTTTATGGTAGTGATTTCAGTTCTGGTGGCAGCACATCATTCGCTATCTCACTAATACCGTACAGAGAGCCGTGAGAGTTTTGTCTGAAGATGACACACTCCCGAACGTATGCGTCACGTCAATAGCTTTTGCAACCTGTGATTTCTGTCGAAACTACAGTGAAGACATTCTGAATTGCTGAGCAAGAGAAAGTTTTGTCCGGAAGCCGTAGGAGTTTTCCTTGCAGGAAAGCGAAAACGATGGTCTTCATTTTGTTGCTCGGGCTCTACACGGAACTTGCCTGAAGTCTCACAAGACGCGGAGGGAGCGAGCACGCTGAGAGCAAAGCTTAAAAAAGAAACAAAAAAAAAGAGAGGAAAAACTGCGCGTGCTTTATATTTACGAACCGCTGCGTGAGTGAGTGAAGGCCCACGAAAGAATAACGAGGAACGAACGAGCGACGCACGATCACGACCTCCGCCTCTTTTGCAGCTCACTCTCCCAGCTCGCCAAAGCTCGCCGCATCCCAGACACAAAGTCGTCAACTATAGCACGGATCTCGGCACTGTCACAGTGAAGGCGACATAGATTGAGCTCTCAAACAAAGAAAAAAGAGAAGTTTGATAAACTTACCCGCTAGAAGCAGCTCTTTTTGCTGAATATCTACCCATGTTGCTGTAGCTTCCATTCTCATCGTACGCACGTCCCTTGCCAAGCCCGTATCCAAAACCGACACCAATGCCGCATCCGGCACCTAAGCCCACTCCGAATTGAAATCCCGGGAAACCAAATCCCAAGCCGGCACCTGAGAATCAGACACGGATCGCACAAATGAGTATTGAATGGCGTAAACAAAAGAGATATAATACAGAATGACACGACCCAGAGCGAGACAATCTCCAAAAGAAAAAAAAGAAAAAGATAGGCTGACTTTGAAGAAGCTCATTCAATTCACCGAGCCCATACGAAACAAGAAAACAAAAGATTTCTCTCCAAGCAGTCGACAAATCCAGAAAAATTAAGCTCAGATATGCGGCATAATCGATTGGCCTTCGACTCAAACCATAGAAAACTAAAGGAGTCATCCAGCCAACACTGCAAGCTGGATCCGGAGAATAAAAAACATGAAACACGCTATGCTACATGAATGCGAGCAAAAAAATACCACGATGAAACAATCGCGAGCTTACCTCCGATAATGCCAGCGCCGACACCGACACCGCAGCCCACACCAGCGCCGAAAGCTGGGCCGAGCTTACCCCACTCGGACGACTTCACCAGCGGTAGCTTCCACAGCAGCCCGCGCTCCATCTCCTCCCGGCGCTTCATCGCCCTAGGAAGCCACCCACGAGCCCTAAATTTTTGTGCCGAGCTCCCGTTGCACTGGGGAACATCCAAGCCGTCCATCTGCTCGCCGCATTCCGGAACGGAATATGGTGCCGGAGTGTTACTACACGAGCACGGAATCCTCGGAAACTTTGGAAGAAAGAATCATGTTGTTTGTTCCTGTGTGTCGTGACAAAAATCCTTGCCCGTGAATTCCTTGAAGAGCAAGGCGAAAATTTTCTCCTGTCCATTGTGAATTGGATCACGGGGCTCGTGTCATAAAACAGAGAAAATTTACCCCGCCCAGCGGTAAAAACGCAAGATTTCTACCCTAGGGCTCGTCGACGAAACGAACAAAACAAGAGCCACCATTGCTATCCGGTACGATGCCCACCCCTCTCTTGTTGTCTTGCGCAGGCCGTTAATCACCGACGGTGACGTCTACGGGGGGCATACGTATTCGCGTACGGGCGAGGTGGCCAGGGAGGAAGCTCGATCGAGTCGTGTTTTGGGAAGTTTTTAAGGGAAGGGCAACTTGAGCAGTGAATGCCCGCCCCTGGCAGAAATCCAGACATTCTTATTCCAGCCAGGAGGCCAGCCCTAATTTCGTTTGGCCCTATTGTCCAGGGGATTCAACGAACGAGAACCACCGCTCTATCTTCTAATCCATCTATCCATCCATCACGAAACCGCGACCGCCCGTCAAAGGCCTGGACAAGAATATCCCACGCGGTGAATATACCAGGAATCCGACAGGCACCAGCTGCTACTGTCTGCTACGACGTTGAATACTCATGTGTGGCGATCGTAATCGCGAGGTCTCGTCAACCTTGGCACCTTTGAATCCCGATTTTTATACGACAAGTTTGTATTATTTGTTGGCCTGCCCGGCATACGGCACAGGCGTATACAAGGAATTCTACGCTGCATTGCATTGTAAACAAGAATGATGGCTCCCAGGAGGGGGATGCCGTATTTTTATGTTGTATAGACGGGAAGCTTTTTGTATAGACGGTCAGGGACGCCATACTCGCCGCAGCACCTGGCACTGCCTGCCAGTAAACAAAAATACAAAGGAAAACTCACCTACTTTTACTTACCCGGTGGGGGGTAAAGAGAATACCCCGCGTCCTGCGGTAGCGCCGCCCCGGGATAGATACTTTGGGCACGGTGTAAAAAATGGATTTACCATGTGCTCTGTATGCTCCGGTCCGCTAGATATTTATTTCCGGCCTTGTCTTGGCGGGAAAAAGCCGGTCTTCACAGCTGGCAACAGCAAATAAAGCATGGACACGTGGGATCTGCGGCATGGCGGGAAAATCGCAATCCTTTGACCCGATGCTGCTAGGGTTAGGGTTTTAATCCGCAGGAGAGTTTGAGGCGTTGAGAACACGTCTCCCCCCTCTATCTTGGTTGTGGGCCTACATTTGATTCGTTTGTCTCGGCGAGTTGGAGACAAGAGAATGGGGTTCAAAGCAAAACCGATTTGGTGTCTTAAGCGTTGGACTAGACATCGGTCAGAATGGCATTGACCGGGTCTTGAATCTTATTTTTTTGACGGCCGAATCATTTGGTTCGTTCATTTTCTAACCGGTAATTAATCCGGCTTGTCCAGGGGTATCGCTCAATCGCGCGCCACTTTAGGATACTTAAGAATGGACAACGAAACGGGAAGGCGCGCCCTAAAATAGCAGCGGACAACTGGATGCCCGCCACATGGCAGATGGCTTGAGACCCAAGCAAGTAAGAATCGCGGTCCAACCTGGTGAAAACGTGGCGCCGCCCCACTTGTACGGAAATGAATATTCGAGTACGGCGGCTGGCTAATAAGGATCATACACGTCGGATAGGCGCCTCTCCATGTTTCTTTACGGCGCACACCAAAAGCCTTTGAGCAAAGAAAAGAGGCGAGAGGAGCGGGTGAGAGAGGAGGAGAGAGGAGGAAGGAGAGAGAGAGGAGGAGGACGCTGGCCGCCATAGCCGGAGCTCGCGCGAGTTTCTTCTACCCAGCGGGCGCTCGAGAGTGAAAAGATCGCGAATCGCACAGCGGGGCATTTCTGTGCGTCCTCCATAGCTGAAGTAGCGAGCTCTGTCGCGCGAAGAGCGCCCGGCCTGGACATCGAATCCCACAGAGAATCCCACCTCTCGGCTCTCCATGCCTCTTCTTTCCTTCGCATCTTCGTCCGCAGTAGTGCTCACAGGCCGCTGCTCTGGTTCTTCCTCCTCATCCCGTTCTTCCTTCTTGTGTTCTTCGTGCCCGCCCTCCTCGCAGCAAGGATTTGGGGCCTCTTTCTCGAGCACGAACACGAATCGCCAAAGGGATCTGGTGCTCCTGTCGCCGCAGCTCCTCAAGACCAAGCGCCTCTCCTTCCGGGACTTTAGATCGACGCCCATATTCAACAGTCGGCCATTCACGAGGTATGAATCGCTCGAATCTCTCGCAGCGGTGCATGGATCTTTTTCGGTCTTCTCGCTGTTCTTGGTTTCTCATGCTCTATTTTTTTAACAGTGAAGGCACGCCTCCCGATCGACCCATTAGCGGCGGCGGCGTGCCAGCGGCAATCTAGCACGGGGCATCGCGCGGAGCACAATGCCGGGGCCGCAGATGCGCTCATCGAGGCCACTGAGCGTCATGCTCAAGGCGGGCGTGGTCGCGCCCGCAGCCATAGCCAGCAAGAAGGGGAAGAGAGCCGCCAAGAACGCGTGGGAGGAGGTAGAAGTAGAGGTAGCCGCAGCTCAGTGCGCGATCGCGAAGAAGCACAGGGGCGGCGGCGGCGGCGATGACGAACTGATAGTGGTGGAGGAGAATCTCATCCAAGTCGGAGTGGAGGAAACAGTGGAGAGCGAGGATGAGCACGAGAGCCTGTGGAGGAACAGCCGGATGTATCGACCCAGAAAGCTGCGCGTCGTGTGCTTGGATCCGGAAGCCACCGAGTCGTCGAGCGACGATGACGAGCGCAAGAGCATGAAAGCTCGCGGCGGCGGCGGCGGCGGCGGCTGCTCGTCGGACGAGAGCGAGAGCGAGGAGATTGGCGGCGCGTACCGCAGTAGCAGCTACGTCAAGGCGTTGATGACTCCAATGGCGAGCAGCCGGGAAGAGGACGAGGACGAGGAGGATGACGCGGGCGGCATACCGCCGTGCAAGACCAACGAGTCCGAGGTGGTGTCCGAGGTGGCGAATAGAAAGCCCCGGAAGCTCGTCCCCAGCGCCAAGCCCGGCAAGGGACGCAGCCAGCAGTCCAAGTACCGCGGCGTCCGCCAGAGGCCGTGGGGGAAGTGGGCCGCGGAGATTAGAGATCCTTTCAAAGGCACCCGGCTGTGGCTGGGCACGTATGACACCGCCGAGGAGGCCGCCATAGCCTACGACAAGAAGGCCCGGGACTTGAGGGGCGATAACGCGCAGACCAACTTCGCCCCCGGCGAGGTGGTGGTGTTCAAGAACAGCGACAACGAGATCACGACGTATCGATCGGAGAGAGTTGGCGGCACGCCGCGAAAAGTTGGTGGTGGTGGTGCTGCTACTACTACTACGACTGCCACTGCTGCTAGCGCTGCTGCTGCTGCGCCTCCTCCTCCCAGAAAGGACGTTTGCGTGATGAACTTCTCGACGCCGTATGCTGGCGGGACTTGCGAGGAAGTAGGCGAGGAAGAGGACGAGGATGGCGGAGATAACGACGAGGATGAACAGCAGCAACAGGAGATCGAGGAGGAGGTGGAAGAAGAAGAAGAGGATGGGGATGACGAGCAAGATTTGTTGCTCAAGCCCGGGCCCCCAAGCTCGTCAAAAGCGCAATCGCCGTTCAAGGCTCGTGCTGCGTCTCCGTGCGGTACGACGGTGGGATCTTGCAGTACTTCCTCGCATCTCACTGTTGCGGATGAGGACGAGGCGAGCCGGCAACAGTTGCCGACGACGGTGGCGAGATCTGGAGCCAAGAAGAAAAGTCGGGCGGTGGTGTCGTCGAGGATGGTGGTGGCCGAGAACTCGGACAAAACCGGCGGGCGCGAGAGGTCGCCGGCTGCGGCTACTCGGAAGAGGTGCTTCAGCCGGAGCAGCAGTAGCATGGTGGCGAACTCGCCGAGCTCCGTTTTGGTCCGCTCGCTCTCGCGGAGAGCGGCTACTACCACGACCACTACCACGACCTCGACCACGACCACGAGTAGTACCACGGACAGTGAGTCGTACATGACTGAGGACTCGGGCTCCACTTTCAAGCTCGAGGTGGAGGTGTCCAAGAACAGCAGCAAGGACTCTATGTTTGACGACGATTTCCTGCAAATGCTGGGGGTGGCTTTCAATGGGGACGATGATGGTGGCCGGGGTGGCGGCGTTGGTGGTATGGATCTCGACTTGGATATGCTCGGGGATGGTTTCGGTGAGGACGAGATGGACTTGGAGTACTTCGCCGATTTGTCGACGATACAAGTGTGATGGGTGTGAGCGAAGCGAGCGATCAAAATGGATCGGTGCGTGTGACTAGAGAAGCAAGAATTTTGGGAGCCAGTTTTGTTTGGAGGTCTTGAGAACTCTCGGAGGAACTCGGCTTTTCAGTTTCAGTCAGGTACATAAGTTTTCTTCCTTCGTTTTATTTTTGTTCTTAAGTTATACATATCAGATGATGAGAGTGACGCTACTGAGAAAGTTTTGTAGCGAGCTGTTGAGAGAGTTTTGGGCCCAGGTTTGTAGCGAGGGGCCCTGCGAGAGGGTGTGATCCAGAAAAGTTTTGTGAATGTAGATGTTTGCCTGAGTATTTAAATGAGATCGGTCTTCGATCGAAGTTTACATATTGACAAGTGTGAGAAAGACAACGAAGAAGAATCGAATCGAGAAGTTAGCTGAGCTTACTTCTTAGCTTTAGAGAAGCGGAGGCACCTATACTTCTCGCCGCTGACAGTGATCTCGAGAGCGCCATCCTGATTATCCGATGACGAGGCAGTCCCCATGAGGACGCTCTTCTCCTTCTCGAGATTGTCTCTTTCCATCCGGAGCCTGGCCTCCTGTTTGGCGATCTCGGCCTGCCAAATCCACAAGACACAGGTGTCAGCGAACAGAAAATTCGCTGCAACAAACCAAGGAGAGGGGCCGGAAGACAAGCTCTCGCTGGCCAACGATTAGAGAGAAGAAGCGAGAGAGATAGAAAGGTGAGGTGCGAGGCCTACCTCTCGTCGGGACAGTTCAGCTTTCCACGCGGCCTCTCGCTCCGCCACCTCGCGCTCTCTCTCCTCCAAGTAGCTCTGCATCTCTCTCTCCTTCATGATCCGGTCTCGCATGTCAGCCTCGAGTGCCTCCTTGAGCTGTCTCACAAAGTTCTCGACCACGGCCTTGATTCGAAGGGACATCTGCCGCTGCTGGTGCTGGCCCGCGTGTGCTTGAGTGCATCCTGCCAAACACAGAGCGCAGCGTTTCTAGGTGGTGGACGGACACCTTTGCAAAGAGTAAAAGCGTAGCAGGAAGAAATCACGATTCCAGCTTTACCATGAGAAGAAATGTACGAAAAGGAAAACAAGAGAGAAGATCGTCGCTGGGCATAAACAAAACGAGTTTTGTTGGAAGAACAAGCAAAAATGCGGTACACTAGCAATGGAAGGAGAGAAACAAGGAAAGATCATCACGCGCAATCGGGCTTTTGCTTCTAAATGATTGTCTCAAACGCGAGGAGGCAAAACGATTAGCAAAGGACGAGCAAACAATCACGAAATAGACAGAGTGGCGAGAAATGACGACTCACGAGTGGGGTAGCAGAAGATTTCGCACCTCGAAGCTGTGACGATGACGCGCAGCAGCAAAATCCCTACCTAGCAGAGCTCGCCTCGACCGCCGCTCGTCGGCCTCGCCCTCCAACCCTAAATTCGCAACTCGTGGCGACACAGTCAGTGACTTGTAATTCCAGAAGCACGGCATATTCCGAACGCGTATGGTTCTTCCGCATATTCGTTGATAGGGGTTCGATTCCGATCTCGCTGCGTGGGTTGACTTCGAGTGCCTGTGTGCGCTTCGTTGTTTTGCGATGCTTTTGCGATACGGCTTTTGGATCGAGGTAAGGAGAGACTCTGGGAGATTGATTCGGCCAAATGGGCTTGGACAGAAATCGAAGTAGAGAGTAGCGAGTAGTTTCTAGGAGAGCTAAGAACAGGGGGAGATTTCGCAGAGAAGTGAGAGCTTCCATGTCGAGCCAGTCCGCGTGTGGCATTAGCTGCAACGCGGGGACGAGCTCGCAGCTCAAGCTCTACCAGACTTTCATCTTCGCGACGCCCATTCTCTTCACGCTCGTTTTGCTGCTGCTCTTTTGCCTGCTCTACTACAAGCGCCGGAGGAACGCCAGGGCCGTGTCCCAGATTCGTGCGCAGTTCTTCGCCAGGGGTCTCTTCGCCGCGGTAAAAATCTCGATTTCTTCCTTTTCTTTTGTTTTCCGGATTGAAAATGTGATCCATCTCACGCAGCCGCTAGACCATGGATTGAACAAATCCTTCCGGGACAACATTCCCACCATCGTGTTCGATGCCAAGTTCGCGGAGACCCGTGGCGGAGATACACAGTTAAGCTCTTTTTCTTTTCTCACGCTCTCTCTCTCTCTCTCTCTCTCTTTTATCTGGAACTTATAAAGTAAGGTTCCCGGAGTTCACGGAAGAACTTTTGTGTTAAGAACTCTTTCCTTTGACCCAGATGCGCGGTCTGTCTCGGCGAGTACCAAATCGGCGAGAAGCTCCAGCAGCTCCCAACGTGTCGGCACACATTCCACGTCGAGTGCATCGACGAGTGGCTGGCGGGCAATTCGACGTGTCCAATCTGTAGAACATCGCTGCTCCAGAGCGGGCGAATCGTCCCTGTAGCATTCGCCGACGATGACGACGCCGACGATCCCACCCAATCCGCCTCTCCTCCAGCCGAATCGCAGCAATCGCAGCAATCGCAGCAGTCGCAGCAGCCCAGCATCGAGGAAGATCCGTGCGGCGGTGGCGACGGCTCCATCAAAGACGAAGAAACCAATCGCGATCGCCGACACAAGCGAGGATCCAGCAGGTCCTCCCGGTCGTCATCGATCGGCGAAGCGATCGAGCAGCAGCATGTAATCCAGATTGAGCGGTAGAATGCGATTTCTCTTAGAGTGGATCAAAGAGTGGAGGATCGAAATCCATGGATCGAGCAAACCATCACGAGTTTTTCTTCAGTGAAGGTTTGTGGACCGTTAGATTTGCATGTAACATTTTACTCCAGAACAAAGGTAAGATCTCTTGGGATCTAGAGGAGTGGAAGTTCTCCATTCTCCAAGCTGGAATGTAAGTTTGATCGCTGTGATCTTGATTTGGTTCACGAAGGATCACCATCGCCGACCCTGCGCTCAACCAGCATAAAGAAAGGACCCTACCCTAGCCTATCTAGAAAGTTCTTGCGTGCCCTTGTTAGGGTTTTGTGGGGGAGCGACTAGGGTATTGCGATTTGCTTGCTGCCGCGGCCATGGCGTCCAAGAGAATCCTCAAGGAATTGAAGGACTTGCAGAAGGATCCGCCCACGTCGTGCAGCGCAGGTGAGCGCGCGCCACAAAATCCATGGGATTTTGATGTCGGGATTTTCCTTCTTTGCCTTGATTTCTAGCTGACGATCTCGTCGATCTATCGATCTCACTGCTTTGCGCGATTCGCAGGTCCCGTGGCGGAAGATATGTTTCATTGGCAAGCGACGATAATGGGTCCGCCCGATAGCCCCTACGCGGGCGGTGTGTTCCTGGTCACTATTCATTTCCCCCCGGATTATCCGTTCAAGCCGCCCAAGGTATGGCTTTTTCTGGGAGCGATCTTTTGCAGTTCCTAATTTGCTCTTTGTTTGGTCTCTTCGTCTTCGATTTTTTCTTTTTGGTTCTCCAAGGTGGCATTCAGAACAAAGGTGTTTCATCCCAACATCAATAGCAATGGTAGCATCTGTCTCGACATTCTCAAGGAGCAGTGGAGCCCCGCCTTGACAATCTCCAAGGTTTGTTCTTTCCTCGACAAAACCAAGAGAGAGGTTTCGTGTTCTAAATGGCTTTTCGTTCCTTTTCTTTCTCTCGCTCGCTCGATCGATCGATTTACCAGGTGCTGCTATCAATCTGCTCGTTGCTAACCGACCCAAACCCCGACGATCCCCTCGTCCCCGAGATCGCCCACATGTACAAGACCGACAGGCCCAAGTATGAATCCACCGCCAGGAACTGGACGCAGAAGTACGCCATGGGATGAGCTCGGAAGGAGCGGCGATTTGTGGACGCATTGGCTCGCTATGATGTTTGTGATACCTTTTGGTTGCTTATATAAGTTGAAGTATTTGTTTTATGCGTTGCAATTCTTTCATTGCTGTAGATAGAAGTTCTATCATGTCTATAATTACTCCAAAATATCAAACAAAGTGTACGCAACGTAGTTCTCCTATGTGAAGTGGTTTCTCAGTGTGAATGTCATTTGAGGTGGCTGTAGTTTAGTGGTAAGAATTCCACGTTGTGGCCGTGGAGACCTGGGCTCGAATCCCAGCAGCCACAATCTTTCTAACATTTTAAACCTAAAACACTTTCATTTTTATGTGAGGAAAGAGAAGCGTTGGAAATGGCACTCTGGAGAATAGGGTTTTTGTGCTTAGCCTGCGCGGCAGCGGCGGCTGTGGCGGAGCCGCAGCTGGGATCCACTCGAGTCGTCTTCCAGGTAATGTGTAGATCTTCTTCTCATCCCTCAGATCTCAAAGCCTTTTTTCTCTCGGATTTGGCAGACAAAGTATGGCGACATTGAATTTGGATTCTATCCCGATGTTGCTCCCGTCACCGTGGAGCACATTTTCAAGCTTGTCAGGCTCGGAGCGTACAACACGAACCATTTCTTCAGGGTATATAGATTTTGGAGAATGTCACCGATTTCTTCGCTTTTTTCTTTCTTTTTTTTTTTGGCGAGAAGGTCGACAAAGGATTTGTTGCACAAGTCGCTGATGTTGTTGGAGGAAGAAAGGCTCCTCTAAATGAAGCTCAGATGGAGGAGGGGAAGAAAACGATCAAGGGGGAGTTTTCGGACGTGAAACATGTTCGTGGGATTTTATCCATGGGCAGGTGAGGTGAGCTCTCTCTGTGTTTATGGTCTTTTCGTTTTATGGAGAATTTCAAGTGATTTGTGGCTTTTCTTTTCAGGTATAGTGATCCAAACAGCGCTCAATCGTCGTTTTCAATCTTACTTGGTTCTGCACCACACCTTGATCGGGAGGTAAGTCTCATTCTTTTTTCTTTTTATGCTGTTTTCCCGTTGCATTCTTCTGTAACACAAAGCAGCTGCTACTGTTGTACGCATGTAAACAGCTGCGCTAGAAAAGAAGAATGCTAGAGTAAACTTGCAGAGAATTTGTACGCATCAGAATAATGGTGCTGACTTCAGACACTGCAAAACAAGTTTCATCTTACTCGCTTGTACAAGGTTGACCTTTCCTTGTTTTCCTTTTTTGTTTTGCAGTACGCTGTGTTTGGGAAGGTGACCAAAGGATTTGAAACATTAGAACTCCTCCAAGAGCTGCCTACAAAGCGCGAAGGGATTTTTGTGATGGTACGAGGCTGTTTTTATTTTTTTCTTGTTTTCATCTCTGTTTTAAATTTCAGCCCCAGGAACGAGTAACCATTCTTTCGACGTACTACTATGGTAATTCCTTCGCTTTATGTAGTCCTTTACTCACCTAAAGTAATTGTAATTTCAGATGTGGATCCTGTTCCTTTAAAGTGCGAGGACGAAGTGTCCATTTTGAGGAGAAGATTGATTCAAGCATCAAATGAGCTGGAGGAACAGGTTTGGTCTTCTTCAACAAAACAATGTTTTACTCATGGATTTTGTGCTTCTGCAGAGAATGAGATGTCTTCCTTGAGCCGGATTGGATTTTGTTTCAAGAGTGGTATTTGATTTTTACAGACTGCTTGCTGCTAACTTGGTAATGTTAGAGAGCAGCACATAAGGAACAGTAAAAGTGGAATCAACCTTACAGATTATATGCTTCGCAGTAGCCGTAGCGCGTCGAACATCACTATGGATCTTACACCCACTGAGTAACGCTCCCCATGCAGAAAAGCTAGGCAGGTATGGCATTGCATTCATAAGTTCTTCTGCTTTTTGGAGCTCTCCAGCCCGCCCGAGAACATCGATCAACGAACAGTAATGCTCCGACGAAGGAGCAATGCCGAAGTCGTCCCTCATCCTGAGAAAGTGGGAGCTGCCAGCGTGGAGCAGGCCTTTGTGGCTGCAAGCGTTGAGCAGCAGCACCAAGGAGACCGAGTTTGGCTCGAGGCCTTGGAGGGTCATCTCTCGAAAGAGCTCTACAGTGACTCCACCATAGCCAGCTCGAGCTTGTGCCGCCATCAGTGTGTTCCACGAAGCTACGTCTTGCTCCGGCATCGCTCTGAAAACAGCCGCCACTCTCCTCACTGCTGGAACGGTCTGCGCGTAAATCTCCAGCATCGAGTTCCAGGTGATGAGGTTTCGATCGAGCATTGTGACAAAGATGGCGAGTGACTCGCTAAGCAGGGCTGGATATGCAGAGATCATTGCATTGCAAGTGACCACGCTCCACACAGGCATCCTCTCGAACAGCACTCTAGCTTCCTCAATGTACCCTCTTTGAGCGTATGCTGCAACCATGGCTGTCCACGAAACCACGTCCTTTACAGGCAGGGCATCAAGCAATTGTCTTCCACTCTCCAGGTCTCCCTCTTGAATGTAACCTTGTATTACCGTGTTCCAAGTCACCACACTCCACTCTGGCATTGTCTTATACAATGCTAATGCTTCACACAGATGCCCAAGCTGGGTATACGCTTGCAGAAGTACGTTAAATGAAACGACGTTGTGACTCTCCATTTGATCAAAGGCTAGTTTGGCATCGTCAAGGTTCTCGGCTTGAGCAAATGCTTGAATCATGCCCGTACAAGCAACTACGTCCCGGAAGGGCATAGAGCTAAACAAGTTGGCAGCTAGATCGATATGCCCGTTTAAGGCATAAGCTTGGAGCATTGTGTTCCAAGAAACCATGTTGTGCTCCGGCATTGCATCAAAAGAGTTCTTCGCGTCATCCACCTGAGAAGCTTGCGCAAAGGCTGATAGAAGTGTGGTCCAAGTGACAATGTCCCTCTTGGGCATTGTTTGGAAGATCTTGCTGGCTTGATTGTGATGACCACCCTCCGCGTATCCTGCGATCAGTGCGTTCCAAGTCACAATGTTGTGTACTGGCATGGAATCAAACATCTTCTTCGCATCCTCTAAACGATCGCTTTGAGCGTAGCCCTGGATCATTGCGTTCCAAGACACGATGTTTCTCAGCGGCATCTGGTCAAATATTTGCTTTGCTATGCCAGGATGGCCGCTCTGTGCATATGCCGCCAAAAGCGCAGTCCACGAAACCACGGTTGGATTCGGCATTCTATCAAAGAACTCCCTGGCGAGATCCAGTTCCCCGTTCTGTGCAAAACCTGTGATCATCGTGTTCCATGAGATCTCGTCTGGAAGAGGCATGGTTTGGAAAATCCTGGCCGCATTGTTGAGGTTTCCTTCATGCGCGTAGCCTTGGATCATTAGATTATAAGAGACCGTGTCCTTAATAGGCATGGAGTAGAAAGTTCTTTCCGCTTTGAACATATGCCCATTTTGGGCATATGCATTAATCATAGCGTTCCAAGTTACTAGGTTCTTTCCTGGCATGCAATTAAACAGACGCTCTGCATATGCAAGGCTCCCAAATTGCGACAACGCACAGATCATTGTCGTCCAGGCAACGACGTTGCGATCTGGCATTCGATCAAACATGGCTTGGGCTTCTTGCAGATGCCCGTTTTGGGCATATGCTGTAAGGATGATGTTCCACGAGAAAAGGTTGGGCTGGGGAATCGAATCAAACACCGCCCGTGCCTCGACCAGGCTCCCGCATCTTCCATACATCTGTATGAGCAAATTAGAGAGGAACTTGTTGCTGCTTGTGCTGCTGATCAGGGCGTGAATCTGTCTCCCTCTCTTCAAGTCCCCAGAATTCCCACACTCCCTCAAAAGTAGCGCAAGCTTCTCGATCCTCTCCTCTTCCCCGTGGAGCATGGCTTTGGGATGGGCCACCAAGGTGAGGCAAGGCAAAATGCCCATCCTTCCATTTGTGTTAAGAAAATAGTTATTGACAAATATGAGCCTTAACTATATTTAACATAAAAATTTATGACTTATATATGCACTTCACACCTCACTCTCTCTAAGTATCTATGTAAGTTTGATCCAAACACTACTCTTGCATAATTGATTCACTAGTATCACAAATAGGATTTCTTCCTAAGAACTTGGCAACATCCTCTTATGTGCATAATGCTGTTAGGCACTTGCCTCAGCTTGGGAGATTCTCCATCCCAGTCAAGGCATAAGGCTAGGAACACAATGGACTTGGAGAAAATAGAGCCATGGTCCAATTCATTTCTAAAAATATGCTAAGGATATGCAAAGTTACATTCTTAACATGGAGGAGAATAAATAAAAAGGGAATGTATAGAGTCAATAGCAAGTAGTAAACAGATATAATTGAACCATGAAAATCAAAATACATAACATAATGTGGTTATATGAATTGGAAGTGGGGAATTAAATGGGTGTTCGAGGGTTTTACTATTTGCAATCATGGTGCTAAGGAAAGTCTAAAATATGGAATTATCCATATTAGACTAAATGACGGATAGAAAGTTTGTGAAAAGAGAGGCTTTAACAAATTAAGAATGAAGTTTCTTCAATGTTCCAAAGATAATTTTGGGTAAATTACAACTTAGAAAAACGAGTGTAAATAGTTCATAAGAGTGCACAAAATTAAAGTAGTGTATTAGAAATGTGGTCTTGAAGATTACTATGAGGTGAGGATATTAAGGTTGAGGAAATAATTCTTACATGTTCAAAAAGATAGCTTTAAACAAAAGTCAATATTTGAGGACTTTCACACTTATGAATAAAACCATAGGTGACTTGCTAAATGGGATTTGTAAGTTAAAGGAACAATAACCTTAGTTGAAGGTGTTAATTTCAAAAAGGGTGGTCCATAAGGCTAAGCATGGAGGAGTCCATACATGACTAGGCTAACTAATTACCTTATCAAGTGAAAGGAGTTGGGAGTTCAAATTCCTAAGGTGTGATCCATAGTGCAGATATGAAATAAAAGTTAATTAACAGAGTTATAAATTTGGTGCACCTACATAAGGAAATACACTAAACATTTTGTGTGATGCTATCTATAAATGCATATATAGAGGTTGGGTTCAAATCCCAACCCTCTAGTGCCAACCCACTAAAGCGTGGTGATAGTTTAGAATATAAAGGCACTCATTCATCATAGGTTATTAGTAAAGAGGCTTGGTTGGATATACCACCAAGCAAAGGATGCCCTAGAATCATGATGCATAGTTAAAGTGTTTAGTGTGAAAGTTTGTTATATCTAATTTAAACACTTTAGGGCAAATGACACTAAATTTGTGGTGAATGAGATACACCAATCTTAGTTGCTATGGACCCTTGGCCAAAAGGGCTAGCTTGGGCACACTGCAAAATATAGGGGATGCCTTCGTGATCATGATCAATAATTTTTAAATCTAGTAAATCTAATACTTATTTTAAAATATCTAATGGTTAGATAATTAAGGACAAACTAGGTTAAGGAACAATATTTCTAGTTCAAAGTAGTGATTTAAACAAATGGTATAGTATGACTTAGTCAAAATGATCAAATGAGAAAGACATCTAAGTAAAATGATCTATGACAATAAAATGATATTGTGAGTCCAAAAAAGTAGTCTCCAAGAAAGGACCCATGAAAAAGTCATAAGATTTTGCTATAAATGCTGCTAAAGTGGAAAATGTTAGTGAGACTTATTAGGGGTGAACATTCCATGGACTTTGTAAAAGTAAAGCCTTTTTTAAGACAAAAGAATACCTTAAGGATAGAAGTAGCAATCTTAGATTGTTTGGTGCAATAATCAATGGATAGAAAAAAAGACTAATAACTAAAAATTTAAAGGAATTCAAATGATAAATTATGCAAGAAACCACTATATGGTGGATGTTAAAGGATTATAGGAAAGGTGATAAAATACCAAGGGATGGGATTTTCAAGTGTTATAATTTGGTGAAAGGTGAAAGATCCAAGAGATGGAACAGTTATGTAACCTAATGCTAATGTTAAATGCCAAACATCCAAGTTAAGAACTCTTTAAGAAATAATATTTATACAAAATGTGCAATGAAAAGTGTCAAAGACACCTAGGAAATTGATATGAGAAGTTAATATTAAAATTCCAAAAGGGTAATCCTTATATAAAGGGACTCTAAGTATTTGACACAAGTACTCCAAAATACTTGTGTCCAATTTGACACAAGTACTCCAAAATAAGTAGTAAAATTGAGATAAATATGGCATCTCTAATGGGTCTAGTAGCATCTAAATTAATAAGGTGAAAGAACCATCATAAGTGGCTCTATGATTCTCTAAGTTGGAGGGTCTACACTCTTTAAAAGATGTGCAAGGCATGATGAATCTGCAGTGTTAAATAATTGGGAAATAATGGCTTGGTGCAAAAGATAAAATGGTAATCCATAATGGGGTTACTTTAGAAAATGGTTTATCTTTCGATGAGGATATTAAACTTCATTTATAAGTGGTGGAGTTGTGAGACACAAATTTTTAAATGCCTAAAGTGTATCATGTGGTAGTGGCCGAAGCAAAAACCCAACGAGCAAAACATATTTAGATTAAAAGCTCTAACTTAGAAAGTCAAAAATAGGAGCCCAAAGAAGTGTTTAAAAAATGAACACAAAGAAATTAGGGAGTGAATCTCGAAAAAGGGACAAAAGAATCACCAACATATGCAAATGTTGTGACAAGTAGAAATGTCAAGACTAAGCTTGACATAAAGTCTGAAATGGAGTCCGAGGCAAAGCTTAAGGAGTCCAAGACCAAGACCAAGACCAAAACTAAGACCAAGAC